TCGGAACTAAGCTCGAAAAATAAATTTGAAGGTCAATTAAATTATACGACATGAGGTAAAGTTCTCTTTTTTAATTGAACTGGTGCATTTTAAGTGTATTTATTTATTTAGTGGTTCATTTATATATTTCTGTTTTTATTTATAATTATGTCAGTTTTGGTCCTCCATACGGCAGAACTTGGAAGGTAAATCAGTGACTGAATCAGGTGTGTTGGAGCAGGAAAAACATAAAACATGTAGGGCTGCGGCCATCGAGGACCAGGATTGCCCATCCCTGCCCTACAGGTATGTCTGTTTTTGAAAGTCAGTCTTTTAGCATTGTTTTTCAGCTTTGCTCCATTTGCATAGAGATTTATCTGTAGTATTTGAGTTTTAAATCTTTGCACCGTGGATTATAAAATTATCAAGATACTGGATTGGAGGTGTCACAAGTAGTAATTCTAAGCACATGCTAGTTTTAAATAATATATATATATATATGGCAATCTCAAATCCAAATACGTATATTAATACATTTTACTGATCATTATTACTGATTTTGAATTTCTAGCCCTTTTTTCTATTTATACGTTTGTGTTGATACAGATTGAAAAATAAATTATATAAAAATATTACTACAAGTTTATCCAATCTTGAAATTTAATAGCGACTCAAGTAAACACTATTTTATAACCATGTCAGTTTTGAATTGGATCTTTATTTCAGCAGAAATAACAAGATATTATTGGCTGCTATTCTTCAAACTGCACTGCAAGTGCTACAGCTAGCTGCTGCGGCCAATATTTGCACTTGTAAATAGGGTTGGGCATAATTGTATCGTGTGCAATTAATCGTCAGAAGAACATTAATCGATTACTTTTTGGCACTTGACAATTAATACGATTAATGGCACCAGGCAGACTCCGCTCGGTGCTCCTCTTTGCTTCGAATATGAAGAACATTAAAAATAAAGTTCTGTAATTTATTTATCTATCAACACAATTGATGTATAGCCTGAAATCTGTAATTTTCACACAATTTGGAACAGTTTTTATAGAGCAAATCTTTCCCACTAAATTGGTCATGTGACTACAAAATAAGGGTGTCCAGGGACTCCAGGGGATTAATCATCCAATTAATCGTTATCGGCTAAATACCACAATTAATCRTGATTTTTTTGCCAATATTGCCCAACCCTACTTGTAAATAACCAGAAGGTGACTAAAGTGGGGGACTAGCTATTTTTAAATTATTATGTTAGCATAAGCTAACTATAGTGCTTCTGGTTCAGCCTGGTAAACTTGCAGAAGAGATATATTCCAGTGGAATARTATGGACTGGCTAGGATTAAACCATTTGTCTTTAAACTGAGTTTGTTCACTGAGCCGTCTACATCAGGTGAAATGGTAATTGTGCATAAGCTTTCCACAGAACCCTACATCAAAGGATTTGAACTATTCATTAGACAATGGCATATAGGCAGAAATAAAGTCAAAAATTTAAGGTCACATTTTCACCCATTAGTGTTGCCTCATTGTGTGTCTCATTCGTTCTCTGCACCACGTTTGTAGTCTAACAGCATTTTCTCTTGTCTGTGCAATTTTCCCTGCAACCAAAAAAAAAAAAAAAAGAGGAACATGCAGGCTTTGGAAATGATGATGCAATGTCTCTCCTTTTTATCTCTCTCTTTCTTACTATAACTTCCATAGGAATTATAACTGCGCTCTCGGCTGTGCCTGGAATCACTTTACAACCTTTATTTCACAATTCCACCCACCGCCTTGAACTTTCTCCCCACTGACACGTGCATCGACGCAGAGTCATGGCAGCTGCAAAGCCCAAAGGACAGAACTCTCTAGCCCTTCACAAAGTGATCATGGTGGGCAGTGGAGGAGTGGGGAAGTCAGCCCTTACTCTCCAGTTCATGTATGATGAGGTCAGAGAACTGAATCGCACCTGTCCTGCAAAATGGTTAATGAGCGATCTTTTGAACCTAATTGGTAATGCTTTTATTATTATTTTTTTTTCCGTAGTTTGTTGAAGACTACGAGCCTACTAAAGCAGACAGCTACAGGAAGAAAGTAGTGCTGGATGGGGAGGAGGTGCAGATTGACATCCTCGATACAGCTGGCCAAGAGGACTACGCAGCCATCCGGGATAACTACTTCCGCAGTGGCGAGGGTTTCCTCTGCGTATTTTCCATCACAGAATTGGAGTCCTTCGCAGCAACAGTAGACTTCAGGTCTCAAAGCACATACTATATTCTTTACATGAAACAATCCCAAACAATCACCAAGATAATTCTTACTCTATTGTCGGTCGTTTTTTTTTTTTTTCGTTGCATGATCCCGGTGGCGTATTTACTGCAGTTTGACCTTACGGATTAAAAAGCAAGAAATGGTTTGCGTCTGTGCTTTATGGCTGTTTTGCAGGGAGCAGATTCTGCGAGTGAAGGAGGACGAAAACGTGCCGTTCCTTTTGGTCGGTAATAAGTCAGACTTGGACGACCGAAGGCAGGTGAGCGCAGACGAAGCGAAGGCACGTGCAGAGCAGTGGGGGGTGTGCTACGTGGAGACTTCTGCCAAAACCCGTGCCAACGTAGACAAGGTGGGTTGAACACCACACTCACAATGCACCGTTTCGCGGATACGGTTTAGTGCCGCCTACCAGATATGGCGCACGATATAGTATATACTGTAGTTTGTGGTATTGTTTTGGGGCAACCGACGGTAAAGTCAAGGATAAACCGGTTCTTAATTGAAGATTGGACTGTTGTGCAGCTTCAAGTTTTTGGTTTGGTTTGTGATACATACCAACTAACCTAATCAGAAAAAGGACAAACTTATCCAGAACTGTTACGATGCTCAAATGTTGGGATTATTTCCTAAAATAGCAATCTGGAGATACAATAAATATTAATTGGCTAATGTATGTGGTTTTGTTTTGATAATATGAAATGCCAATATTATTGGGTTCTGTAATCTCGGCCCTTGTATTGTCCCTCGTGTTTGGACGGAGCGCCTGGGGTGGACTTGCCGGCCTGGGCAARTTCATAAAAAACTTCCTGGTTGGACTCATCACTGTACAGTTCTTTCATTGTCTGATGCCTTGACTTTTCAGAATTATGTTTTGTATAGTGGTATTAATTTATATTTTCAGATCTTCCAAGGTGCCAATTATGGAACTCTCTGTGCATTGCTGCCCAAATCAAATTCTGAAAGTGGTCATTCAACTAGATCTGTTACAAAAGGACAACTGATATTACCAACTTTTAAAAAACTGTTACGGCCAGAGGTCTTTCTTCTATGTTTATACTAAAGCATGGAATGACATTCCTCAAAACATAAAGTCCATTTCAAAACTACAGCCCTTTAAGAAGAATCTTGTCTGCCATCTGGATGGACACTTTTTTTTGTGCTCATATTTAGACGTCCGATTTTGCAAATGCTGCCTTTTTGAAATTTGGTATGCTTGTTTGTCTTTGTGTCTATGGTGTATAATGATRTGATTGTGATGCTGTATTTCTGAGTGTTTTATGTGSTGCAGAACAGGAACCTGCTGTAAAACAGCAATTATGCTGAGTCAGGCTTGATTTTTAATMAYCTTTTCCTGTTAAATAAATAAATCAAATSAAATCTTCTGCATGGTGTATGTTGCTGTTAATAGAATAGAATAGAATAGAATAGAATAGAATAGAATAGAATAGAATAGAATAGAATAGAAACAGCCTTTACTGTCACACAGAGGGGAAACAGGTGTAATAGCAGCAGCAGGTACATCAATCCACAAAAAACTACTATTTTGCAATGCAACATTTGCAATAGTAGCGATAATAATAGATTTAAGACAATAGTATTAAAATTATATAATACAGTATATACTACTATATAAATAAACTATACAAGTATATAGATGTGTTCAAGTTTTCAGATAGTCCATACCATATATTTTGTAAGAAGTGACCAAAATTATCTTTAGGTGGCAAATATGATACACAGCCACGATCCCTGTAAACTTCACCATCATATTTGGCACTAGATCCATACATATAGTACTAGACGACGGTGCGACCATAAATKTTTCATTTTTYATATATCTGCAATCATTATTACACATAAACGTGGCACCACAATCTCCACAACTCATTTTCAYGCTTGTTCAGGTGACACACCAGCACCGGATGCCCCTAAACCTGACCATGATGCATTGCGCTAAGCAAAGAGGGCGGTATCTGCAAATGGTCAATTGGCAATACAAGTGCACTGTGCTAACATGAAGCAAATGCAAACTGAACTCTTGCTTTTTTGTGTGTGTCCAGGTGTTTTTTGACCTCATGAGAGAGATCCGGGCACGGAAAATGGAAGACAGCAAAGAGAAGAACGGGAAGAAGAAAAGTAAAAGTTTGGCGAAGAGAATTAGAGAGAGGTGCTGCATTTTATAGTGGTGAAAGTAGAGCAGGTCCAGCTGCTTTATGTACATATACATTTCTCAGACTTTTTGCAAATGTTTTGTTTGTGCCCAGACCTGACCATGACTTTTTGTTCCTGGCTAGCAGAGCATCTGTGTCAGGAAGTAGTAAAGGTGGCACTTCATACACCATTTATAGCTCTAACTTTTTATGTGCTGACACTCCCAAATAATTTATGATTCACGTGCTCATGTATTTTCTTACTCCTGACTACATTTTAGAGTTTATTAGATGAATGGAGTTTTGAATTTAGGCCTAAGCTTGCCAAAAAGCTAAGCCCTAAAAACCTTTCATTGTAAAAATTAGGTGTTTAAAATATGTTCCGACAGCTGTGAGGTGGAAGTTTGAGCGAAAAGGATATAAAAGTTTTAAAAGGAGAAAAATGTAACTGGAGCTTCATATTGGGGAAACCACAATCTATAGAATGAAATTTGTTAAAACTCAACAGTTTAGTGTGAATCCTCCATTCATCAGGGGCCAAAGAGTAAATGTAAACTGCACTGATGAGTCTGAGGAGGATTTGAACTAAAAGACGTTTGTTTTCGGAAACTTGTGCCCAAATTTAATGCTGTTTCCTAATAGTTTTACACCTTTATAAATGATATGTAGAAGCATTATTTTTGTCTGTGTAGTCAGTTTTTTCCTTCTGTTTCAAATCAAAATATGAAAAAAATATATATAATAAGTGCACTAATGTCTCCCCCTTAGTCACTTTGTCCATTGAAAATGCACAAACTACATTAATCTTTACCCTTAAACCTGAGAAAGATTTAGCAACACTTGAACTTTATTTCACTTTTAACTTTTATTTAGTTTTACCCTACTTGGCTAATGACTTCCATTGCCTTTTCTGTGTCCGAGGAATCCCTGGTGCTCTGATTTAAAAAAAGAAGAAAAAAAAGGTGATTCCATAAACACTACATCTTTACAGGCCGCTCTGACACTGACAAAACAATTTGCTTCCAGACATGTAAAGATTTTTTTTTTATTGATTTCGATTTTTTTTTTACTTGCCTCAGACCTTTAATCAGCTTTGTATTCCCATCTTTTATGTTTGTRTTTTAATGTACCATTCTCTGTCGGAGCTGTCTGAAAACGTTCCTGTCAGTCACCAAAGAAAACTCTTCGCTTGTACAAATAAGTGCCCAGTTATCGATTCTGGTGAATGAAAACTTGTTATTACGAGGATGAAAACATCAAGAACTACATAGTTTGCGTTAAAAAAAAGAAGCCCAACAAGGTTAAGTAAATCAATTTAAATCTAGATCACGTGAACAAAGAAAAACAAAGTAGAAAAAAAAACACAAGGTTACGAGGGCTTTAGGAATTCTGTGCAGTGTGTCACTGTTGCCTCACCGTCCATCGCAAAAGTGGTTAATCCTCCTCCTTTACTCATCCTGTAATCTTGGACTACCAGAGCTGTGCAGAGTTTACGCTGATTAGTCTTTTTGCCACAGTTTGTGCCAGGTTGTGTTCAAAAGTGATAATATTTCAAAAACAGAGTGTGTTCATGTTTGTTTGTTTTTTGTTTGTTTCCTTGCACTTGTAGTTGACTGACTTTTAAAGCATACAGCATAAAAATTAACAGAAAATACAAGAATTATTTCTAACTGACAGAAGAAAACACTAAAAATCTTCTAAAATTATTCCAATATAACTTCGAGTGAAAGAAAAACAACAAATGCCATGTCATCTTTCATTGAACAAAAACGCAGTCAAAGTGGAAAAAACTAAATCGACCTCATGACTCAGTAGCTTTAAGAACCACCTTTAGCGGCAATAACTTCTAGTAGTTTCCTGTGGGGTCTTTGACAAGACGTCTTAGTTCGGGACTGAAGGCCTCCACTCTGTCCGAAGCCGAACAGTCGACCCGCGGTCACGTGGTTATTCTGCGTTGGTTTTGGCGCACACACTTTCATAGCTCCTGAGACACACAGAGGCAGCGAGGAGGTTGAAGCCTTTGTGCCATAAAATGAGGTAGCAATAGAGTCAAAACAAATCCGACGTGAAACTCTAAGCTGCTGCCGCGTTAACCACAATGAAAATCGCTGAACTGAGTTACTCTATCGTGTTTTATAAATGATACTCGCGAGACGTCTGTTGCACATTTAATGCGTTGTGCTTGATGTTAACCCAGCTGAGTTCTGATCCATTCCTCTTTTGGTTCTGTCACGCTCGCTTCATTTATGAAAGCTCACATCTGTGCGGGACGTAGCCGGCTACTTCTGTGATTTATGAAAGGCCAGACAAAGCAAAAAGATAGATGGCTTTTTATTGCCAATTCCCAAAATTGTTTTGTAAAAGACCCTGAAGACTGCTAAATGCCCAGGTCTTGTGTCTGCAAAACAAGCCCGAATCATCAACCCTTTGCCACCCTGCCTGACAGTTCTTATGAGGGGTTTGTGCTGATATGCAACAAGAGTCTAAGTTTTTCACACACAAATCTACTATTTTGCTGACGTTTTTGTTTAACATAAGATGACTTGCTGACTTGTTTTTTTAATACATAAAGTTAGATTTTAATAATTTTCTAACCTGTAAAGACCAGATAGTTTATATTATGTACTGCTATGTAGTTGAAAGAATTGAAAGGGAGGGCATTTTGTCTTAAATCCAACATCCATCCAGAGGTCCCCCCCACCAAGTTCCAATCTCATTGGAACCATTAACATAAGAGGAAATGTGTGGAGTCTATGCAAAAGGAGTGTCTTGGATGCAAAGAAGAAATGTGAAACTTAGAAACATTTCGAAACACTGCTGGTGTGTTTAAACTACCTTTTTCAAAGGCATGGTGCAGAGGTGTTTCAACTTGAATGCGCTGAAGAAATCAAACATCGTCTTGAGTTATCTTCTTCATCAGACGGATAACACTGTTGTTTGGGTTTCCTCAGTTGACAGTTCAGTGTCTTAAAATGAAGCTTTGGTATTGTTTGTTTCTTAAAAAGCACACATAGGAATAATTTGGAACTAAATGAGGTCAATCCCAACATTAGAGTACATGTCAAGCTGTTTTAGGTGTTCAAAGGGCTAACCTCCAGTGGATCACACTGACTGAACCCTTCCTAAATGATAGGATGATAGGCACAGAAACTGACTCACAATGTAATGATTATTATGACAAACCTTAGAGTTTATTTACATGTGTCATCATAGTTAGTTACTGACCATCATCATGCTTGCTTACTGTAATAGCCTAACTTTTTTTTCTTCAGAGGAAATCATTACAAAATTTTACTGTTCTGCTTTGTTTTTATGTACAGTATAATCTGTGACAATGGCCCGGATCTTTTAAGTAAGATGCTAAAACTGATGTTTGTGTGAAAGCTATTAGCGGACTGTCCTACTGAGTTATCAAATAATTTGTTTTTGCTTTTTATATTAATACCCTTGGAACACAACTAGATATATGTCTGTGTTTGGATGTGGTTGTATGTACGCCATGACTAAAATGTTTCCTTCATATTTGCTTATTTTGAGCATAACCACTAATGTAGCCTGTTTGTGAATGCGAGAGGTGAAGCTTACATTTCAGATCTTTTTTTATTTTTATTTTAGTTTGTGTGAGTTGTTTGAAAATGGCAAATAAAGTGGATATTACTAATAACACGTGAAACTGTGTTTCTGTCATTTTTGGAAGAAAGTCTGCTTACTTTAGCAGGCACATTGACCTTCAAAAGGGAGTGGCTTTCTGTACAACTTTTTTATGTTGAATTTTTAGTTATCAATTTTTAAAAATTTGATTACAAAATGAATTTGGAAAACCTTTGGAAATGTTTGAAAGATGAGTAATACCTGGAAAGTACATTAGTATTTATTTGATGTATTCATACATACATTCATTCAAGTTAATAGATCTGACTTTTAGAATGGGGTTTTGTATCTTTGTGAAATGGTGTGGCATGTTTGATTTCGTTCAGATTATATAATAAATATGCACAGGCAAGAGGAGAATTAAGATGTCGTAAATAGGTTAAAGTACGCAAATCCTGAGCGTATATCACTATAAATTGTAGCTCTTCTTTGTGTCACATAATCTCTGTCCTGCTTGTTCTATTTTGAAGGTGAGGGTTTCCCTTCGTGGTGACGTAGCCTCTGATCTGGATTACGCAGACGACTGTCATTGGTTCACGTCGACGCACGAGGCCTGTAGTTTGAAAGCCGCACGGGGCCTTGGCGATCCGTGCTGTTAGCCTCATTACGAACAAAGTTATATTATTTTTAATGTAGTCGGTGCGTTTTTAACTCGTCGTACGCGGCAAGACAACAGCTGCTTTTGTGGGACGGTTGTCAACAAACGGAGCACCGGTCCGACGGGGTGTCTTTCTTAGAGGAGCGGGTTCGAACCGCATTGTTTTTGTGACTGAGTTGCCCAGAACTCCCACCGCAAGGAGAAAAGAAAGCTAGCCCGGCTAAGTTGCTAGCGGGTAGCTAGCGGCGAACTTGCGTGCTATTCACTTCCTTGTTGCGCTCAGGTTTGTGATGGAAGAGGAGAAGTTTGAGTGGAGCAGAGTTGTCTTTTTTTCCCCTACATTTTAACACTATCTGGTGAATGGACTCAAAGGCTTCTGTGGATCGTCACATTTTTTTAAGAATAAGCGAGTTTTTAAATTTCGGAGCTGCTCTGGCCTCATGAAAATGGAATGAGATTCTGTGGAGCTGAACAGTTAGCTTAGCTGCGCCGATTAGCCGTGGCTAACAAATCTTGCTAGACATCCGTCTTGGAGCACAATGGTTAAGTATGGACTAGCTTTATAACTTAACACCGGGTTGATAATTGAGTGTGGCGGAATCTTTTGACGCCGAGTGTCCTTAACTCACTTTCTCCGGAAGCTTTATTGTGCTCGGCTTTGTAATGGGAATGCTAAGCTTGTGCTTTTGCTAACGATCTGCGAATTTTGCCGAGACGTCGCTAAGTAAGCCTGTTTCACGGCTAGCCCGATGTTGTGTTCAACGACACAAGGGACATAGTTTACATTAAGCATAGCATACTGTTCTGAACTTCGTCGTTACTTTATTTTTTAATTTGGAGGATAAATGCCCAACACAGAGGTGCTTCGAGAGGGTCGGGCACGGAGCCCCTCTGCGCAGCGAAATGCTACCAGGCAGGACAGGCGGAGTAAAGCGGGGAGCGGTGCCGCTCAGCGAGACAAACGCCGAGAGAAGGGGCGCTCGTCGGCTTCACGGAGAAAGAAACGCAGGCTTGCCAAGAATAGAAACTTGTGGCCAACAGGTACTGTAGGAGACCCCGACAACGACCGAAATAGCGCGTTTGAAAAGGAGCTGGAACTTCGGACGTTAGTAGAATATGACGACGTGAGCTCCCAGTCGGAGCGGTTTTCTGGAAGCCCCTCTCCGAAACCCTATCCCCATGCCGATGGTCTGTCAATGGATCAACTCAGCGATGTTGACATTAGAGACAATAATGGACCAGCATCCCCAGACAGAAGTCATCTGGGAGGCCGGGAGGCAGCGTGTCTCCGTAAAAATGATATAACAAGAGGACCATCTGCGAGGAACAAGCAAGACAAGGGGATAAACAGGAAAAAGGACCGCCAGAGTCGAGAGAAAGACTCGTCAAAGGTCAGGAGTGGAGGTAGCCTGAGTGGCTCTAAAAATCACAAAGACTCTGCGAGAAGCAGTGACAGAAACAGTAAAAGAACCTCAGCGTCTCAGTCCTTGCAGTCCGCAGAGAAAAAGGATTCAAAAAGACACAGAAGTAAAACAAGATCTGACAAAGAGACCCCTTCTGCATACAGAGAGACCCCACAGTCTTACAGAGAAGAACGTGAGGACCTCAAAGCCTACAAGAGAAGTCCTGGTTTTAAAGCAGAAAGTCCCTATGGGACATCATATTCCTATAGCTACCAGTCTCCTGGTGGTTATAACCAGCTGATATCAAGAAGAAGTCCAACTTATGGGAGCAAAAGACTGTCTCCCAGTTCCACATATTACAGCCGGGACACAGATGTTTATGGAGCGTTTGGTGTTCCAAAGTCACCTAGCTCGTACTCAAGCAACAAGAGGAAGCGATCCCCTGTGAGCCCAGTGAACTGGCGCAGATCACCGAGTTACGGTCGGCACAGTCCATATGAACAAGGAGAGTTTGTCTCAAGTTCTTATGGAAACCACAGAAGATCTCGAAGTCCTTATAGGAAGTCCCTGAGTCCGAGTCCAGATGTCAGGTGAGCTCTTGAAGCGAAGCTTTGTTTGTTGTACTTTTCTGCAGACTGAGTCAGTCTGTGATTACAAAAAAATATATAGTATTTGTCACTGAAGAAATATAGCTTTTGAATGCACATAACCTTTAAATGCTAAATGCACCCATTTGGGATCATGTCAACAACAAAAGCCTAACATTAAAATGGACGAGTTAAAAAATGTAAATACAGTATTTATATAAAACAATTTTTAAAAATCTGTTCAATAAATACATAACTTTGAATGTCTACAAAGTTGTAGCATCACCCTGCTGTACAAAACTGCAAACACTTTATTTCAAACTTCCGATTAACACACCCGATACAGAAACAAAGGAATTGTCATGATTTAAGTCTTCATCACAGCTCTATAAACTTTATGCTTGATTAAAACAACTCGTCAGCATCAAGATAATCAAAATGCATTAATCACATCAGAGGGGTCTGAATCGTGACGTGCCTAAACAGTCCCACTCTGACTGCCAGGACACTTTTTGCATGTTTGAGAACACGCTGTTCAAAAACATATTATAGTTTTAAATATAATATTACTCATGTCAAGTAGTTTGTTTCAAAGACTTTATGTTCATATTTTCACTTAGTGATAACTTGGATATAGATTAAGTTCTTCTGTGTGTTAGTGGGAATTATTTACCTACAGTAGCATTTGTATATTTGAACAGTTGTGTGTTATGGTGAAAGAACACAAATATAAATTCATAAAATTACATTTTAGTTTTTAGAGTTCAAAAATCAATCAGACTTGTTGAATGTGAATATATATAT